TCTCGGGAGAGAGACGAGAAGGCGACGATTGGTTTGGTGAAATTTGATTTGAAGCATATTTTTTTTTGTTTTGGGAAAAGAGAAGAAGATCGATGGCGACTTCCAAGCTTCAAGCTCTCTGGAATCACCCTGCCGGACCTAAAACCAGTGAGTCCAATTCCGACATACTTTCACCTTTTTTTCCGACCATCAATTTTGATTTGGTTCTGTGAGAATTGATGATTGAATTTCGATTGTTGCGCAATCAAATCTTTGTTGGATTTTGTTCTTCTTGTTAGTTTTGTCTTTTTAGTCCCATCCTGATTTCTTTCGTCTTCAAACTTTTTTTTTTGGTGGATTTGGAGTCTTTTGACTTTCGATTAGTTTTGTCGGAAGATTCAAAATATTGATATGTTGCTATGATCCATGAAAATTTAAGACCTTTGATTTGATGGGAACAAAAATATAAAAATCACTCTTTTCCTTTGTATTGGGTTCTCATGTATGATAAATTGATAATCCTTGGAGTTTGATTTAAGTTTTCCATTACCCATCTCTCAGAACAAAATAGGTTTTTGTTATCCAATCAATTGAAATCAGACAAGTGGTTTTTAGTAGCTTTGATCAAAGCTTTTGAATCATTTTGGTGAATTGGGACTCTTGTTTTTGTCATTCTCAGTTCATTTCTGGGCGCCGACGTTCAAGTGGGGAATCAGCATTGCCAACATTGCAGATTTTGCAAAACCTCCTGAGAAAATTTCCTACCCGCAACAAATCGGTATCATATCCTAATCCTTATTGTTATTCGGCTGTTTCCTTATTTTTCATCTTCATGTGCACGCGCAATATCGCAGCTCTCTATCGATATTTGTATCGCAGTTACCATATTTTTGTGTCCTATAGTTGTGATTGCTTCATTGTCTTGCCATGCCTCAAATGTTCTTACAGTTTTCTCTGATATCTCTTAGCGGTTACTTGCACTGGAGTTATCTGGTCTCGCTACAGCATGGTTATCACTCCTGTGAGTTGCCTTACACTCCTTTTATCAATTGCGTTAGTAACAATTCGTGGTTTTATCTGACTTCTTTGATTGCGGCTTTTGTTTACAGAAAAACTGGAACCTCTTTAGCGTTAATGTTGCTATGGCGGGTACAGGCATATACCAGCTTGTTCGTAAAATAAAGTAAAGATCGATAGAGCATCCAATTTCTTACAATTACATGGAACATTCTATCCAATTTCTTGTTATATTACATGCAATATGCCTGAATCTGTTTTACCTATTTTGCTCTACAGAAATGATTTCGCAACGGAAGCCGAGCCTGCTGTTGCGAAAGAATGATTATGACGAAGAAGGTGAGCCATAAGAGGAAAAGTGGAGATGAACATCTTGCTTGTGTTTGAGTATCTAGTCCAAGATATTTGATTTTCTTTGTATTCCCACAAGATCTGGGTCGGATTATGAAATCATTTTCCAAGGATTTTTTAAGTGTTCCTGCTTGTTATTTGATCAAATGATAAAAGAGGTTAAGAGCTTCAAAGCAAACCATTAAGCCCTCCACAAAGAAATCAAATGTTTCAGATGTTGAATCAAATTAAAAGTCAGACAGAAAAACAAGATCCTCTATGAATTGAATGTTCACTTCCGAATCAATGAGTCTGGTTATCGACAATAAAAGGAAGAAGCCATGGACGAACAGGACCAGCCGACCAGTAATGGAAAAAATTGGACATCTCTAATGACTTCTTTCCGTTTGTCTTTGTTCCTAATGACGTTGAGAGTTGAGCAGGACGTACCAACCCGAGTTGCAAGTAATGCAATGCCCTTAGTTGATCACTCTTCACTCTTCTACTGGTTAGTCTGCTTTCAAATTGTTTTCAGAATCCACATCGTTTGCATTTAGGTTCAGTCCTATATCCTGAGTGCTTTCGTTGAGATCTTGCCGCACTATTTTTTCTTCCTCCTGCTAACAAGAAACAGATGAGAGGTTGTAACAACAAAGATCAAGAGCATTCTGACATGCACTTCTTAAAATCGTGGCCTTTTCAGCTATTCAAATTTACCGGGTCGGGACAAAAAGATTCAAGACATTCATTCACAAGGCAGGAGAGAACAAGTCTGGATTCCAAGAGTTCACGGAATTTTCTTAGTCATATTGCTAAGATAAAAAATCAGTTTTAAAGAAGCCTACCAAGGAAATAACATATGGCTCTAGGTAACCTAAAGTTAAGTTTTGGTAGGATAAAGGAACGGAGCAGAATTTTCTTACGGTTGAGAATGTTTTACCTGATTATCTTCCATTGGAACATCATTCATGTCAGGTTTTTCCTCAACTTCGTTTTTATTTTCGCTCAACTCTGCTGCTGCACTTGTGTCCTCATCAATCTTATTTTCTTCCTCAACTTTGTCATCCTCCTCAACCTTATCGTCTTCCTCAGTCTCGGTAATTTCCTTCTTCTGTTCCTCAAGTACTGCAATCTGCACCATTTAAACACACATCACTTCAAATGGATAACAGTGACAAAGTTTAGTCCAAGACGATCCAAGCATTCCGCAAACGGAAACTTCAGTATATCTTATATAGCAAGATCACCAACTTTCTTGCTAAACCTCAAAGTTTAAGAAAACCTTAAACATTCCAGGAGAAAAGATATATGAAATTCAATCACTCATAAACCTCATGATTCTCAGAAGACAGCTCTACTTAGATATTTCATTTTGCAACCAATCTTGCTAATCATTCCCAAATCTCTGCTACTGAAAACCCTAATCACTGTTGCAATCACCTAAGCAATCGAACTCGTAGCAAAAACCTACATAGCTCGATTTCAATGCAACAAGTCAGACTAACCGGCACGTATTTGAATCTGCGCCGCGGTGGATCTTCCTCCGCCGTCGTCGCTACTACAGGCTCGTCGATCGGAGA